GGGGATCCGAGGGGCAGAGGGGTCACCTGGTAAGGTACGTCACCGGGCCTTTTCCCGGCCGGAGGGCTGGGAGGAACCGGCGGACGTGCAGGGGACCCGCCTGGCTCCGGGACCGGGATTCTCACTTCCACTCAGCAAACAGCCGACCGGGGAGCAAGTTCCGTGAAGCCCCGCAGCGCGGCGGGCGGGCCCTGTGGACACGCCCTCGCGGGGACTCGTCGCTGCGCTGCCCGGAGGGAGGAAGCACAGAGCCGCGGCCGGTGCCGAGCGAGCGCAGCCGGCGCCCCCTCCGCTCCGGGCAGCGGCCCCCGCGCAGCGAGCCGGGCATGAGAGCGGCGCCGGCGGCATGGCAGCCTCAGGTGCGTACGCAGGCGCCGCCCGCGGGAGCCCCGCGCTGGGGTCCCCTCTCTCCCTCCCGCGCTCTCTGCCCCCCGCAGCCCTGCCGGCTCCCCGCTCGGCGGGGCCTCGGGTGCAGGACCTGTGTTCTTTCTGTTCTTTCCCCGGGTCCCGGTCGCAAACCTCCCACCCCGACTTTCCCCCGCTCCCCTTCCCAGCCTGTGGCGCGAGTCTTTGCAGCCCCTGCCGGGCCCTCCCCGGCCCCCATCTTCTAAGTCTGCTTTTCGCCCTCGTCACCAGCTCTCGGACCTTCTGAGGGTCGTTTCCCCTGTTCTTCCAACTCTGCGAACCCAGAGTCCGAGGTAAAGAAGGCAGAGAGCCGACTGGTCGGCGCCGGCGAAGCGCTTCTCGGGCCGATAGGGGGCGCCCGGGCCGTCGCAGGTTGGCCCGGGGAGGTCTCCGGCGGCCCTGGGGCCACGGCCCGCTTCCTCTCCCCTCTAGGCTTTGTTTTTCGTCTGGAATTTCGATGGGAACCTAGGAACACCAATTCCTTTAGCTTTACTTTTCCGGTGTCCTTTGCAGAACTTTGAAGAATGGGGACCACTGGGTATCTATCCATCTAAAGGTGCCGGCAGGCTGATTACTCTGAGTTCCTCTTGGTTCCTGGGGTGTGTACCCTTGGCAAGTCACTCACTCACTGCGACTTAGGATGAACCGTATAATAATGATGAGAGTAGAGACAACGAATGAGCACTTACGACGCACGTTGAGGGATAATTTGCACCTAAATATGTTCTCAAATGGTGCCCAGGACACGCTGGTCTCTGCTCCCGCGTGCACAGTCTTGTGGAGGGAAGCAGAAACAAACAAAGAATTCCTAGAGGAGAATATTACAGTTACCATGTTTGCAAGTGGGGTTACTCGTGTTTTCCTTGCTCATCTTATGATGTTTTAGTAGCGATAACCCGTGAAAAGAGGATGTAAAAGCCTCTTGAAAAACAAAACCTAGCCGGCCGGGGAAGGCACTGCTCTTGGAGGATGTGGGCAGAGGCTAGAGCCCCCGAGATCTAGCCTTCCGATGGCGCTTGGGAAGCAGGGGTAGGAAAGGCCAGTGGTGACAGTTCTCTTAGCCCTGGCGACACAGGCTTCCTATTTAAGGGCGGGCGGTGGAGAGGTAGCTCGCCGCCTCCTGCCTCCCTAGTGAGGCTCTGAAGGCCAAGAAGCTGTATTGTGAAGAGGGAACCCTTGCTAACAGAAGGTTCATCCGCGCACTCCATTTGAAAGCTGAAGCAGAGTTATCTGGAGGGGATTCATTCACACAGCACATACTTACTGCCTGCCTGCCGTTTCTAGGCACTGCTCTGGGTGTCAAGTATACGTTCAGTAAACGAAACAGACAGAAGCGATGTCCCCATGCAGCTTATGGAGAGGTGGGGGAAGGCAGACAATACACTTAATGAGGAAAAGACATGATATGAGAAGTGCATGGGAAACAGTCGAGAGGGGTAAAGGGGGCTGGGGTTATCATTTTAAACGAGGCAGCTAGGTTAGTCTTCATAAACATTTGAGCAAAGACCCCAAGTGTGTGTGTGTGTGTGTGTGTGTGTGTGTGTGTGTGTGTGTAGGCACTGGGGGAGAGTACTCCAGGTAGAACAGTCAGTGGGTGTATGTGGTGTATTGAAGGAGCAGTTTGCCAGAGTAGGTGGGTGACTGGGGAGAAGTAGGAGGTGAGGTGAGTGAAGTGCCCATCTCCTTCTATGGCTGGGAACAGGCCGTGGGCTGTTAGGCCTGGGAAACAAACCGGACAGGGGTGGGGGTTGGCGGAGGAGGCGGAAGAAGCCAGAGTCCTGTGTGCATCATTCAAGTGAATGTGGCTGAAGGGGCTAGACGGTGTGCTCCTATGCCGATAGGAACTCAAAGCCAGTGGCCAACCCTGGGGTTTACGGGCCCTGTGGTGGCTTCTGCAGACGTCTGTGATGGTTGGAAGTGTCAGCATCCTCTGCGGTGAGGCGCTGCAAATAGGAGTTGGGTCTTGGGCCCTTGGGGCTCCCTGAGGTATGGAGATACAGTGACCCATGGTGGCAGCTCACAGTGGTGAGAGCATCTCTTGCCAAGATGCTGTCGGCTCTGGAGCCATCCAGGCCACTCTTCCATGTTGTCTTCTTCCTCTCCCCCTTCTCCTCTTCCTCCTCCACCTTCTCCTCCTCCTCCTTTTTCTCCCCCTCCTTTTCCTCCTCCTTTTAAACTGCTTTATTGAGATATAATTCACATACAATACAATCCGCTCTTTTAAAGTGTACAATTCAGTGGTTTTTAGTATCTTCACACATATGCACAACCATCACCACCGTCAATTTCAGAACATTTTCATCACCTCAAAAAGAAACTTCTTCTGTTTCAGCTACCACCCCCCTGCTTCCCTCCTTCTCCCCATCCCCAAATTCTACTCTCTGTCTCCATAGATTTCCCTACTCTGGACTTTCATATAAATGGGATCATGTCATATGGTGACTGGCTTCTTTCAGGGAGCATAATCATTTCTAGGTTCATCTAGGTTTAACATGCACCAGCAGTACCTCATTCCTTTTCATGGCTGAATCACGTGGTTTCCTTAAATTTCCTTCTACTGATGGGTAATCATTAGTCTTTTGTTTTTGAAAGGCATATTTGCTGTTGAAATCAAGGAAAATCTTGGCTCCCTGTCCTTGGCATCTGATGGCAGCTCTTGAATTTGCACATGAGAGAGAGGAGGAGGAGGCCATACATCCCTTTCCTTAGTGGCCGAGTGTGGTTGATGAAGACTAGAATTGTTTTCTCCATGCGTCATCTTCAGACCTTTGAAGAAAGCTCTCCTACCTCTTCCTGCTTATCTTATCTCCAGATCCTTCTACCATCCTTGTACTTACAGGAAAACAGGGCTTGAAGGAACCTTTAATTTTTCCATCTGATCCTTGAGGTCCCTCAGTACCCTTTTTTTAACTTATTTTTATTTTTTATTAGTTAAGGTATTACAAATGTGTCCTCATCACCCCCATTAACCCCCAACCTCCCCCCCCCCCCGCCCCCGCACACTCATGCTCCCATCACCCCCCTCCGTACTCTTAACAAGTTTCTAAACTTGAAATCTTCAGAGTCTGAAAATTCTGAGCAACTTCCAGCTCTCTCCCTACCCTGGTCACCTTCCCTATGTCACATCCCTTTTCAGTGCAGATTCAAACATGGGGCTCCAGGACAGATGTATCATGTGCCAGCGCCGCCCACAGATTAAAGAAATGGTCTGGGCTGGGTAGTTTGAGAAGCACTTCCTCTTTGTTCTCTTCTCAGGTGGATTCTGAATCTTTTACTGTGTTTCTTACCACCACCCTCACTCCCTATTGCCACCAGCCAGCCCTGCTCTTCTGCTTTCCTTCCTCTCTCCTTTAGAGCCAAACCTGCCCCTTAAGCTCTACAGAGACCTTTTCCAGTCTGGCAGTTATGACCACTTGTTGGTTCACGTATTTCATTTCTTTTAATAACCAAAAAATGAGAGAATTGATTTAGCATATTTGAAGAAGTGACTTCTGGTTAAAGGAAGGGAATTATTCTTGAAGAAAGGGGTGCCCCCTATAGGAGACAGAGTTGCTTACAAGGCATTTAGACCTTTGTCATGGCTCAGCATGTTGTGGAGGGACTTTAATTTTCACTTTGGAATTTTTTTTTTTTTTACAACTTCCCCAGCTTTCAATTTCAGCAGCAGAGCAAAATCCAGGATGGCGACAGATCCCGTTGCCCTCATTTACATTGAGGCAATATTTGCTTAGATTTAGTATATTGGTCGGAAGTCACACTACAAGTTGGTGGTGACCAAATAGGTTGTGATATTAACTGGTCTGAGGAAGTGACCACTTCCTTCTCAAGCACTTTTGCTCAAAGGGGGGGAGGGGGTCAAATGTAACACCAGACCCCCTGGAATGAGACATTTTAAATATGTATATTTGTGTGAAGATACTAAAAACCTTGTTTCATTAGAAGAGGCTAATCTCATAAGTGCTTTTTATTTCAACTGTATATTTAAATTTTTATTTTAGATGTTTAGATGTTTTAGATTTATAGAAAAACTGTGAAGATAGTAGAGAGTTCCTGGAGACTCCACACTCAGTTCCTGCTGTTATTAACATTTAAACTTTCCTTGACGACAAGAGATCTTTAATGAACCACAGGTTTTGTGATGTCTGTTAACAGAGAGGCAGGGAGTGGTGAGTACTTATTCCCTCAGTGGCCTAGAAGTTGTCAATCTTAAACCTGCTGTTTTGCTTTTGGGTCACTGTCTCCTCATAAAAGTGGCACAAGTGGCTCAAGGCCACGTGGTCAGGGCTCTGTAGTCACTGGTTTCCTGCTCATCAACCAGTGCTCCACGAGCCACACTGCCTTCTTTTTTTAAAAAATTTGAGTAGAGAGAGAAATGTGGATTTGTTGTTCCACTTATGCCTTCATTGGTTGCTTCTTGTATGTGCCCTGATGGAGGACTGAACCTTTAACCTTGGCGTACTGGGATGATGCTCTAGGCCAGTGATGGCGAACCTTTTGAGCTCGGTGTGTCAGCATTTTGAAAAACCCTAACTTAACTCTGGTGCCGTGTCACATATAGAAATTTTTTGATATTTGCAACCATAGTAAAACAAAGACTTATATTTTTGATATTTATTTTATATATTTAAATGCCATTTAACAAAGAAAAATCAACCAAAAAAATGAGTTCACGTGTCACCTCTGACACGCGTGTCATAGGTTCGCCATCACTGCTCTAGGCCCACACTGTCTTCTTAAGGGAACTTCTTATGCTCTAGCAAGTCTCTTCTTCACTCTTCTTCACTTCCTTGCCATCACTTGTCAACCCACTGAGGACATTGCCAACGGCTTCTTCATCACTAATGTACAGGACCACAGCCTTTCTGAGATCTCATTCTTAACCCATTTAGTCTTGGCTCTGTGACTAATTACTGAGTGTGAATTTAAGTAATTCCCTTCATCTTCACAGCTGAAGTGTTTGTTTATCTGTCAAAGAGGCATTTGGGCCAAGTCATCCCCAAAAGACACTCTCCCCCCCCACATACACTATTTAAATCCTCACCCAAGGACATTTTTTTTAATTTTTATTTTATTTTATTTTTTTTTATTATTATTTTTTTACTGATTTTAGAGTAAGGAAGGGAGAGAGAGAGAAAGAGAGGTGAGAGAAACATCAATTGGTTGCCTCTTATATACGCCTCAACTGAGGACCAAACCCACAACCTAGGTACGTGCCCTTTTGGTGCATGGGATGATGCTCCAACCAACTGAGCCACCCTGGCCAGGGCCCCTTAACTCAATCGTGTATTGTACCAGCCGTGGGGGGAAGAGTAGGCCAGCAGAAGCAATAGCTAATGCAAGCATCTGACGTGGCATTGCATGTTTGGGCAAAAGCAGAGTCTGGTATAGTTGTAACACCAGCTGTAAGTGGGGAAAGAAGTCAAACGGGCCCGCTGGAGGTGGACAGTGAAAGACCGTGGGTGCCGGCTCTCCATCAGGATGGTATATCTTGCAGGTCATGGAAAGCAGGCGTGTTGACATAAGTGCCTTGTTCTTGCTCAGGGGTGTTCCGAAGGTGTGACATTCTCCTGGTCTACAGCCCGGATGCGGAGGAATGGTGCCAATACCTCCAGGACCTTTTCCTGTCCAGCCGGCAGGTCCGTGGCCAGAAGACGCTGACTTACCGGCTGGGCCCGGACACTTTCTTCTCAGCTGAGGACCTGACCTTCTTCCTCAGCACGCGCTGCATCGTGGTGCTGCTGTCCGCGGAGCTGGTGCAGCACTTCGGCCAGCCGGCCCAGCTGCCGCTGCTGCAGAGAGCCTTCCACCCGCCGCAGCGCATGGTCCGGCTGCTCTGCGGGGTGCAGAACAGCAAGGAGTTCCTGGACTTCTTTCCAGAGTGGGCGCACTGGCAGGAGCTCACCTGTGACGACGAGCCCGAGACGTACGTGGCAGCCGTGAAGAAGGCCATTTCTGAAGGTAAGGGTCGCCTCTGAGGTACAGATGAGCGAGCTCTAGAAGAATGGCTAACCCTGCCCGGCCGGGCACTCAGTCGGTTGGGGTGTTGTCCAGCACACCAGGAAGGTTGCAGGTGCCGTTCCTCGTCGGGGTGTGTAGGAGACAGCGATTGATGTTTCTTCCTCACATCCGTGCTTCTCTCTTCCTCTGTCTCACACTCTCTCTTCCTCTCTCTCCCTCTTTCTCCCTCTTCCTCTCTCCTTTCCTCTCTCTAAAATCAATAAAACATCCTTGGGTGAGGATTAAAAAAAACCCCAAAAAACAGTAACCCAGGCCCTAGGCATTTCAGGTGAGACACCGTCACGTCGACACTAGTCATTTATATTACAAAACGCACCTGGACCCCACTATGCTAAGAGCCCCAGCTGTACTCATTGGTGTAGAGCAGCCTGCTCCTGGGCTGGGATCATGATAGGATAGGTCTCTGGGACCGAAGTTGAGGAAGGTGAACCTTTCCCTTGGGTTCTGAGCTCCGACAAAAGCCTGTTAGAATTTCCTACACCTTGGGAGATGCAGGACACAGGTTCCAACCCAGGAGAGGGCAGTGGGGGTGGGAGGATGAGACTTAGTTTGGTGGGAGTGTGAGGAACAAGACTGCCAACTTTCCGGCTTGCAAGCCATTTCCATTTTACCATCACATGACTATAAGATTTTTGTTGAAAAGGTATCACTTTTGGATAACATATTTATAGGGAAACAACCCTCCGTTTCCCGCCAGCCTAGCTTCTGTTTTTTGCCCTGTTTCTTCTTGTAAAGTGGGAAAATTCCGATCCTCTCTGCCAGGGCTAATGACTTGAGTGGCCCAGGAAGTATGACGTACACTCTGATGAACAGTAACGGAAGATATACTTTTGGATGAATACATGTCACAGCCTTTCTTCCTCTTTTTGTTTTCCATTCTTGCCTCACCGTGGGCTATGAGCAGGCTATGCGTGTTCTTCTGTTCTCTTAAGATCTTGTAAACCTGATGCCAGCAAAGAAGCCTGGAGTGATGTAACTATGTTCAATTATCCCTGGTGGGACTTGGGCATTAATTTAATTCATCCTCCCCTGTCTCATTTAGTGAACTGAATTAAAAATTCACAAATTTTTATTGACCTTAAAAAGTTAATACTGCGCTTGGCTGGCGTGGCTCAGTGGTTGAATGTCGACCTATGAACCAGGAGGTCATGGTTCGATTCCTGGTCAGGGCACAGGCCCAGGTTGCAGGCTCGATTTCCATTGTGGGGCTTGCAGGAGGCAATCAATGATTCTCTCTCATCACTGATTTTTTTATCTCTCTCTCCCTCTACCTCCCTCTCTGAAATCAATAAAACTGTATTTAAATTTAAAAAAGTTAATACTGTATAACTCCCTAGATGCTTTTATATCAGGAATAGTTTGCTTGAAATCAATAAGTACAAGCAGGTCATGGAACACAGTGGGACCCCAGCTCATTTTGTCACATAAATGACTAGTGTTAGCCTAAAGATCTCACCTGAGATGCTTGGGACCTGGATTAGCAATTTTTCCTGGGTTTTGCTTATTTTTATTTCAGAAGGACATGATGGTAGAAAAAGCACACGATTCATACTTGCTTGGTCACACTTCACTGATTTGAGAGAGTTGTGATCTGCCTACATTTACAAAGAAGTGAGACACAACTGGTTATTTCTGTGGATTAGCTTATGTCACTGCAATGGTTCATTATAATCTTGTGGGCTGGCCACTGGGACCCACCCACCAATCAATCAGAGCTCCCTGGATGAAATATCACTGTACTGGCACCTCATGCTCTATCCTCTAACTGATTTTTCTTTAAAACATTACAGTGGTGTTATTTTAAAAAATTGATGGTAAAAAGGATTTTTAAAATATTGTTTGGATTGCTCACTTTGGCACTAAAATCTTGTTTGGATGCATCCAATGTTTAGATGCCTGGATAAATTGATTGCCTGTATTTTACTTTTTACTAGCAACTCTGGCTCGGTATGCTATGAGTGTTTAGTGTCAAGTGTTTCGGAAAGAATGAAGTGTTTCATAGTGGTGTTCCTGTTCTGAACGCAAAGGAACTTTCATCAGAAAGTCGATTTTAATGGGAGAGTAAAATGAGCTGCTTAGTAGAAAGTCTCTGCAGCTCAGAATCAGTGGATACACAGGGACAGGTGGAATTCTAGGAAACAGAGGAGGAAGGAGTCTCATGGCTTCAGTGTAACTTGTTGGTATTAGATGTGTGAATTTGGGGGTTTGAGGTGTGTAACAGGATGGCTTGGATTTGCTTTTGGGGTCTCCATAGCCATTGCCCTTGGTCAGCCCAGTTATGTGCAATAGCTCTGATTTTTATGCTAGACAAGTGTTCTTTAAAAAAAATTTTTTAAAATTGATTTCAGAGAGGAAGGGAGAGAGAGATAGAAACATCAGTGATGAGAGATGAACATTGATTGGCTGCCTCCTGCAGGCCCTCCCACTGGGGATTGAGCCTGCAACCCAGGCATGTGCCCTGATCAGGAATCAAACTGTGACCTCCTGGTCAATGCTCAACCACTGAGCCACGCGTGGCCGGGCTAGACAAGCTTTCTTAACAAACTTAAGACTCTGAGTCTGGCAATGTAGCAAAAAGACCTTTGAACGGCGACAGAGGCACTCCATTGCCTGGCTCTGCTGCTAAGGAGATGGCTAATATTGGGCAAGTCACTCAGCTTCTTTGGGTTTCACTTTCCTTTTCTGTAGGAGGCGGAATTAGACTTGACCTAAGACATTTTCCAGGGCTAATAGTCTACAACTCTCCTAGGCCAGGGAGTCTCAAACATTTTTGAAGCATCACCTTCTTGCCCTATTTCACACCTGCTTTGATTCCTGGGAAGCTTCAGGCTAAAAGAATGTTTAAGGATAGTATTATCCCCGACACTGGAAGTCTGGCATAATTATGTCCTTGGTTACATTCTCTATAAATTGTGATAGTTTATTTTAATACTCTTCTTGTACCTGTGAGGTTTTCCTAAGGTATCCGAAAATAAAAGCAAAAAATAAAAATTTCATATACCCCGCTACTAGAAGCTGCCCCAGGTCTATGAGAAATAAATACCCGAAACTTGTTTCTTTGACTCTGTGCATTAAAAAAAAAATCCCAGTGGGAAATGTAATGAAAACTTGATAATGGGGATAAACTACTGGTAGGGCCAATAATCATGGGGTTATGATTGTAGGGTTATTGAAAGCTACGGGGAGACAAATTTCAGGAAAGCTTAGTATCAATTAGAGCATGCAAAGATGGAGAAGGTGGCCTTTGGAGATGATGAAGCTCCCAGAATATTTATATTTACATTGTTTCTTAACTTTGAGATGTTTTGTGAAAAAAACATGACTACTTAAAATGTAGGCTAATTTTTAGACCATTTAAAATTTAAAATAAGGCCTAAAGATCAATAGCGCCCAACCGGCATGGCTCAGTGGTTGAGCATCAACCTATGAACTATGAGATCATGGTTCAATCCCCAGTGTGGGCATGCAGGAGGCAACCAATCAATAATTCTCTGCTCATTGATGTTTCTATCTCTCCCTCTCCCTTCCTCTCTGAAATCAATAAAAATATTTTTTTTAAAAAAAGCTTTTGAGAGTAGAACTGGTAAAGGAGGTAATTATTCCAGAAACTTAGGTTAAATACAGTTACCGGTCGTCAATTATACTTTTTCTTACTGCTGCGTTATGTAAGTGTTTCTCAGGAGGCCCTGGGGATCTTGAACTATGCATATTCTCACTCTGTAGGTCTGGGTGGGGCCCAAGATCCTGCATTTCTAACAAGCAGCCAGGTAATGCTGTTGCCGCTGGTCAGGGGTCCACATCGAGCAAGGTTCTAAGCCACCCTCCCTTTACCAGGTCAGGGGTCACGCACCTCTGCTGTGCATGGACCATTTTCTCACTTTTCTGGAAATGGAGGCATCATCTCATCAGGGCGACTACTGGATGCCCATCGATTTCAGTATAAAATTAGGCTAGTGTTGGCGCTGAGGCCAGCAGATTTCAGGGTAGAGCTCCTGAATTCTCTTCCTATGCCCCTGCTCACAGAGTCCACGAGTTAGCTCTGGCAGATTTTAATCTCTTAGTTTTCCAGACGTAAGTAAGTCGTCCTGCTATTGGAGTGGAGGTGTACTTTCATCACGATCCTTACGGCTTCTTCATTTAATAAGCCCGTTGTTCATAATTACTACTCCACTAAAAATGTTTTAGAGGTTTTGTTTTGCACCCCCTCTTTCCAAATTTATCAGCTACCTTAAAATCGAGCAGATGTTTTAATTAGAGACTTGAGTGTGTTGGAGCAGCCAGTTTATTTCTCAAGATCTTCATCTGCGAAATGATGGGTTGGACCAGATGATGTAGAAGGCTGCTTCCAGCCCCTGTGCCGTAATATATTATTATAAGTTTTCTAAGCAAATTACCTAGAACTTTTCACAGATGCAGTTTAGTTCCAAAATGTCTGCAAGGATATATATTCAGTGCATGAAAGACTGTATTGTTGTTCTGAAACTTTGGACTTGTTGGGTGATTATTTTAAAAGAAGGAAGTGAGAAAAACCCAGTTACAGCACAGAAATTATTTCCTCTTTACTGGAACTCTATTCTCTGCTGCAAATCTCACTGGAATACAAAAATAGATTTGTGAGCCTGTGTGGGAAAGGACTTGGTGGGTGATATTGAGTTTTATTTCAAAAGTTCTCATCATTGTGTGTGTTTGTCTGTGTGGAGGGGGAAGGGAAGCATTATCCCTGATTCTCCTAATATGATTCAGAGATCTCGTCTGTTTCTTTATATGATTTCTTTTCTCTTTGCCTCCTCCATCCTTCTCATACCCTTTGTGCTTCAGAAGTTCTGATGTTACCCCAAATCATGATTTTTTTGCCCCACATCTGGCCTTCCTTTGTTGATATTAATGTTCTAATCTGGATGTTAAACGGAATTTAAAAGAAGAACCACTGAGATATTTAA